GGTCGTGCCATGCCATGCCGGCCCGTGGACCTAAAATCCTAGGCCCAACACGACCCACATGGTCATAGCGGGCCTGACACGACCCACAGGCCGTCGTGCTGGGCCATGCCAGGCCACGGGCGGCACAACCCGATTTACACTTCTAGGCGCATATATGAATTCCGGGCCGTGGTCGAGAGTGGGAAGAGAGAATATATGTCTGGTCGAACCTTATTCTAACCGATCGAACCTTATCATTTCTGGTACATCATCGGGAGATGTTCTAAATACACGGTGGGATGTTCTGTGGAACGTTGTGGGCGCAGACGTGAGCTCGATTGTGGAGGGGAGAGACTCTTTTCCCTTCTAACGTACGCTGGGGACGACAAGATAAGAGAAGCGGAGAAGGAGAACAAAGATCATGTTTTGAACGGGTGGCTATCGTCGTCGTCAGTCGTCACTTATGAACAGAAAAGAGATAAAAAAATAGTACAGCATGTTCCCCGTAGCTCAGCATCCAGCAAGTTGGGGTGGGTTTATAAGTCCACAGCCCCGGCGCACGGATGGCCAACGCAGTTGCAATCTGTTCTACTAGTTCCATCTGGCGTCACTGCAGCAGAGCCACTGTCAGGTCTAGTGGTGTCAAGGTTAGGGCGTCGGCGGCAATGGCGGCCACCACCACTGTTGTCCCCGCCATCATCGTCGGAGGTGGGCGAGTAGGAAAAGCTTTGCAAAGCATGGGGGACGGCTCCGATGTGCTTGTGAAGAGAGGGGAATCTGTGCCGCTCGATTTCCCTGGACCCATCTTGGTCTGCACCAGGAACGACGACCTCGAAGCTGTTCTTCAATCCACTCCTCAATCCCGGTGGAGCGGTACCTAATTAGAGCATTTGCCTCATCTGGGTTTTCTTTGTTATGGATTTTGATTGCTTAGTTTGATGTTACAGAAATCATGTTTAGTCTGGTAAAGCAGAATGGATGCTAATAATCTAGCAGACTTGGTTTTTTTCCAGAATGGGATGCTTGAGCCATGGCTTGAGAGCAAAGGCCTAGGTGATGCCGACCAGGTTTTGGCGTATTTCGCCGTTTCCAAGCTTGGAGAGCCTCCGGTGGATGGGAAGACGGATACCAATCCCGAGGGATTAACGGCGGCATACGGGAAATGGGCATCTGCTGTGGCATCAAGATTGCATGCTGGAGGCCTTTCTTGCAAGGTGGGAGATGGGTTTTGATTTTAAGCCTCGAATTTCTGTTTGGACTGCAATTTACCATTTGTGTCAATATATTATGTTTAGATACAAAGAACAATTTTGGCATTGAAGTTGGATAAATATTGTTGGCAGGTCCTCGACAAGGRAGCTTTTCAGAAGCAAATGTTAGAGAAACTAATATGGATATGTGCTTTCATGCTGGTTGGAGCCCGGCATCCGGGAGCCACAGTAGGTGTTGTGGAGAGCCAATACCGTTCTGAGGCAAGTTACATCATTCTCTAATCGTTACTTGAAGAATTGTATTAGCGTATCATTCATACTTTTATCTCATCCCACAATCTCTGGGACATCATCATCACTGCCTGGTGCATTCTTAGTGCCAAACTGCCAATGCTTAAGAAGTATGCTTTCATCAGTCTGGGGTGCCTAATTGGGGGGCCAGCTCTTGGATGATTTGTTGACAAAGTCGCTAAACATCTTCATGGAGGGATGGTCCTATAATCTGAAAACTGAAACCTTTTTGTCATACAATGCCAATGACCTAATGTTATTGAATATTTATGCATGCAATCAATCTAACTCTCAATTGCATTCAATTGAATGTACATGGTCAACTCATCATTTTGTATGGTACTGATTCTGGATAAAATTAAATATGTATTAGAACAGAGGAACATCCTGAAAATGAGGGTTCAAGTCGAAAAGTGGTTTATTGTTCAAAAAATGCCAAATATCATGACCACCCCTCCCAAGACTTTGGATAGCTAGAGGCAGGAAGGATGCTGAATTGGTTTGCATTCAAAATCAATAGATGGCATGATCACAATGGTCTCATTGTTTGCTGGCCTCATACTCTAATTGTATCTACCTCACTGCAATTATGTCATAAGGATCTTTTGTTTGGGTTTAAGAATTTTCTATGTTTTCTGATTTTTTTAAAATTTTCATTTACAATGATAATTTGGTCATTTTACTTTTTGATTTAATGTTCATCCATTGTAAGTTGTTAGTTAAGTCATCTTTAGGGTTGATTTAAAGTTCCAAAGTAATTGGATCAATAAGTTAGAAGTTATATTGTTTTTTCTCTTAATTGCATGGGCAGTGGCAATTTCATAATTATGGTGAAGAGTAACCTGAGCCACAGCCACCCAATGTTCATCTTTTCTCTGAGGCAAGTGAAATTAAAATTGGATTTTTTTCTTTCTTGGAGCTTGTTTTGGCATTGTTTCCCTAAGCCCTAACTCTTTTTCTACTACTCTTTCTTCTACCATTTTCTCTTCTTCTTTATTGGTTTTTCTTCCTATTCCACATGTTTGATTTAAATATTGATTGGAGCTGTAATTCCATCTGTTAGAATACATAATTTTTTTTTTTAGTTCCATCTGTGCTCAAGTTTCTTGCATCCTTTGTTTATCTTTTGTTGACTTTCTACAAGAACCTATACTCTCTCTAGAAATCATCCAACTTAGAAACTCCACAAGTGACAAGCCACATATAAACCTCTATCTATGCCAACTTTCCTTTATATCTCACCTATTTACCCACTCCTTCAGTTTGTTTTGTTTAATTCATCCTATTTTTCAAGATATCAAAAAAGTCTTTCCTTTTCACTCTTGAAAATTCTATGTATACAGTATTTTAGCATATTATTCTTTCTCTAGAATCTTATATTTAAACTCTAACCTTCCCTACCATTCTTAAGACGTTTGTTAGACCTATCCCCATCTTTGCCCCAATTCCTAGCTTTAAACCCTATGGTTACTGTAGTTCTCTTTGTTATTTTTTTTTTCTTCTTTTACAACAGTTTTTATCTTCACCACTCGTCAAGTATTTGTAGTTGTAGCAAGGTAGGCTATTCATCCTGTATCAGGATGGTTCCATATTAAGTGTTAACTATTGCTCTACCTTTTTTGTTACGGGGCACTTAGTGAGTTGGATGGGACCTCTATTAATAATTTCAGGTTCCATCAGTTCTAGGAACCCTGTCTTAGTAAAGATTTCATCATTACATATAGGTCTGAGATTAATGTGATCTTTTTGTTGCATATATTTATTTCTGTGTTTATCCAAATATAGTGTTTGACCAAAAAGTTTGCCTGTATTTATCTAAATATACTTTTGGACATCATGTAGCTCAGGTGCATCTAGTAAGGCCCTGTAGAATGAAATGATTTAGCATAATTCTGTTGCATAAAATGGTTTCGTTTCAAGAATTGTTAACAAATTTGAAATAACATGCTACTTTAGGATTTTGAGTTGCTTATTTATGATGAGTTCTAGCTCAAATTCCACAAAAAAATAAAGTTATTGATATATATATATATATATATATATATATTTCTTGTACCAATCAGTGGCTTGTTTTCTAATCATTGAATGAAGTTACCATTTTCTATATAAAAAAAAGAAGTCAGTGGCTTGTTTGCTTGGTAACATGGTATGATAAGTAATGCTCAAAAAAATGAAATTCATAAGCTCAGAACTAAAGTACTATGCTGGCAAAATGGGATGAAGAAATAAATATTTTGGCTTGTGCCTCGGTCTTGATACTGGATTTATTGAAAATCGCATTTCTAATGCTTGTTTCCATTAACTAGCCATCTCTAAGTAGCGAATGAAAGAACACAATTTAAATATAACAATTAGAATTTTCTTCTCTTGTATTTGGTTGCAGGTTGCCAGTCTCATTGGAGAACTTGCATCTGCAGCAGCAGCCGAGAAAGGCTTGGTATTTGAAGAAGCCATAGTGGAAAGGTTGTGTGCTTATTCCAGGGCTGTTGCACACTTCCCAACTGCTGTTAAAGAGGTTACTTCTTGTTCTATTGTATAATAGATGAGTTTATAAATTTAATGTCACTAGCATTAAAGAGTTATGTTTCTCACTGCATTGCATTTTGAATTTTTACAGTTCAAGTGGAGGAATGGATATTTCTATTCACTCACCCAGAAAGCACTTGCTGAAAGAAAGGCAGATCCATGCCCTCTACACACAACATGGCTCAAGGAACTAAAAGTTGTGTAGATATAAGGTTACTCCCCCTCCCCCTTCTTCCTCACCATTGCATGAGATCTATCAGCACTTGACAAACATTATGCAGTGTAGGTTTTGGTCTATTGAGGTATCATCACGTAGTTTCAAGGTCATCGGTTTTAATTTGCTATTCCTTATTTCTCCCTTTAGGCTGTGTTCCGTTTGATAGAAAATTAGAGAAACAGACGAGGGAAATTCAATTCACAAAATTTATTGAGAACTTTCCTCTCTTATTTTATCACACCAAACATAGCTTTAATAAACAGGTTGATAGTCGTCCAGATAATTCCATGAGGTCGTGATGGCACCCTCCTTAGATGGGTCTGACAATGGAGGCTATACTTCGAAGGGGTGGATTGTGGGTTGGAGGGATTTTTTTTAACTTGTGTTTAGGTAGATTGATAAAATATATTATAATTTTCTACTTACACCAAGGATATTGGGTTCATTGAATTGGATTTTTTTTCTCCCAATTCATAGAAATAATCATGGTGATGGAGATTCAGGACATGCTGTCTCTGTGTCCACACAGAGAGGAAGCTACAAACCCTACTGTTCTCACTAGGGATGTCAATTGAACTGGATTTGGTCCAATCCGGTCCAGTCCAATGTGAGTCTATTACAAATGGACCTGGTCTAATCCAGTCCAATGAATATTTTGGACCATTTTGTACCGGTCCAGAGGCTGTTCAATTTGCTCAAATTTCTGTAAATCTAAATTGGTCTCAGCTCAAACCTGCTCCATTGACACCTATGTTCTTATCTTCTATCAATGGACCAGATATTGGCTCAATCCAATATAAATTCATTATGGACGGATCAAGTCCAATCCAATATGTCATATTGGCCTGTCCAAATTCAATGTCTCATTGGTCTGTCCAATCCTGTCCAACCCGAGTCCGTTCCATTGACACCCCTAGTTCTCACTAACCATGATGAATTTACCTTGAACCTGTATGGTTGCCCTGTAGCTGTTCATACTTCTTACAAGTTAGAACTTAATCTCATTTGATTGAACCAATGGGCATTTACAGAATCATAACCCTTCCCTCAGTGCCGTGTAATCATTGAAGCAGCCGGGTCCCCAGAATTCCAGTAAGTACTAGATATTAAAGAGCTCACATCGGGGCTAGATCCACATGCACATTTCGGTGTGCATTGGGAACATCTCCCATAGTTGTCATTGGAAGATTCTCTGTGGGGTGCAGATGCGAATCTGATATTAATGTGAATAAAATAAAGCACGAAAACTTCTCATTAATTGTTACGGCAGCATGTTGGAGGATATATGCATCAAATCTCAAAAGAGAGAAATCATCAAAGTTCTTTCTCCACTGAACCACCACTTGCACCAAGGTAATCTTCCAAAGGTATAATGTATGGGTAGAAATTGCTTTAGGTTTCAAGCTTTGAATCAGGCCATCTTTGGGAAGGGTATTAATTTATTTGGATAAATATATCTTGTGGGGGCATTTTTTTTTTCATTTACCCTCTACTTGGGAAATTCAACCTACCCAGGTTTGGGAAGGGTATCACTTACCAGTGATACTTGGAAAAATTAATTTTGTCATGTTTCTGAAATAAAAACATGAGTAAATTGGTCAATGGATAAAATCTCAAAAATAAAGGGGCTTTAGTGTATCTGTGACTCTGAAAATCGAAATCTATCAATCAAATATACATGGATACACTGCAATATTTTGGATCTTGTATCAATGTTCTCTAGCATTGCACAAGCTGCTAGGCACATCCACAAAGTGCTGTACCTCGTTCAAGTCCCTTGAGTTTCATCAGCAACCCAGAACCCAGTACTAAACCTTGTATTTTGTATTATTTTATATATATTTATATTTGTACTCTTTCCAACTGAACCTTATGGTTGAGCAAGGAAAGATTTGCGAATGCATCTTCAAAATACTTCCAATAGGCACCGGAGACGATGCTTTCATTTTTTTTTCTGATATTTGGAAACAATACTTTCATTTAATGTCAATCTTCAACAGATGTCAAACTTGATTGCAGCAACCTTTCATGACCCTTGTCCAACACCAGACCATTGATGAGTTGTCATCAATAGTATCCTTTTAATATTTCATGTCTCTGAAGGTCAACATTCAACAATTTTTCAGGGGTCCTGTGAAGAGGATATCGTTAATGGTAATTATGGTATGTTGGTAACAATTTGCTGGGTGTAGTGCCGATTTGACATCCGAAAGTCTAATATCCGATTTATTCTCGTCTGATCTGATTAAAATCAGAATCTGATTAAATACTATTGTTTATATATAAGGGTGTTCATAGTCCTGTTTGGTGTGGTTTGGAGAATATCTAGATCAAATCAATAAATTACGGTTTCGGAAATTCTCAGACCAAATTAAATCATTTTGGCATAGAAATCAAACAATTTGTATCAATTTATTGCTGACATTTTAAATATATTCAATATATACTAAAACCAAAAAACTTTAACAACAATATAAAACAATCAATTAAATAAATATAGTAAAAAATCAAAACATGAATAAAAACATTTTCATATAAAACATCTAATTGAGCATTCTAATGCCTAAAACATGCATATATATAAACATATAATTAAAAAGTAAACAAATACTATTTTTTCCCAAAATTCTAAAAATGGTTGGTATTTTACTTGCCTCTCAAGCCCAAATTCGAATTCTTGGTCTGGTATAATGTATTTCCAATTTTCTAGAGTTCCAGACTTCCAATTCTGGCACCTATACACAGTTGAACACTAACCAAAGAAGTGATAAAGGGGTTAAAGCTTTTATTTATAAGAGAGGAGATGGTGGAACTGCCGGTGGCAACTCGACGATAATGGTGGGACTGTCGAACTAGGGTGGAGAGATATGGTTCTGTTAAAGAGAGGGTTTCCTGATTCTTGGGTTAGGGTGTTTTGTAAAGGTTGGAAGATAGATGATAGGATGAGAGAGAAAGGGGAGCAGCAACATCGGTGGACTGGTTGGCGGTAAGTCAACGAAAATGGTGAAACAACAATAGGGGTTAGGGTTTCATTTGTTTTAGTCTTTTAGAGAGAGAGAGAGGACAGACCTTGGACAAYGAACGATGAAGGCGATGTATAACTAGTAGTGATCGACAATGGCAAATGGCAATGTGTAAGAGGGAGGGCTGTGGCTGATGTCTCTGGTTCGGTGGTTCTTTTAGTTTTTTTTTTTTTTTTTTTTTTATCAATAACAATGAATTTTATTAACGATTGAGAAAATCAGAATTACAAGGGAATGAGCTAAAGAATCTTAACTCCCAATTACCTACAGTACATCCTAACCATGAAACAGTTACAAAACAACCCAAAAGATAGAGTTTTTCTACACTCTCCTTGCCTCGCTAGACCATCTGTCAATGCATTTGCACTTCTCTTTATCCATGTACAATGAATTTCAATGTCCTCGGTGAGCCACTTGAACTTCCTCTTTTCATTGTTGTATTTCTGGAGCATAGAATTGTCCTCTTTTAGCCAATTCACCACAATTTCATAATCACCTTCTATGATCAACTTTTTAATATTCATTTCCTCAACCCTTTGTATCCCTTCAAGAGCTCTTAGAATCTCAGCCCCCAAGGAATCTCCCACCCCAATTGGACCAGAATACATGGCTAACAAATTCCCTTTTTCATCCCTTATCACTCCCCCTACACCGGAGGGCCCTGGATTGCCTATGCTGATACCATCAAAGTTCAGTTTGGTAAACCCATGAGGTGGAGGTGTCCAGCAGGAATTTAAGGTCTTCTTAATTAAGCCTGAATATGCAATCTTTTTCCAACTTTTTATCATTTCATCAACTGAGAACACTGAAAACAATTCCAATCTTCTCAACCAATGTATCATCCTAATGTGGATAGTCTTTAGGATTACTTCCAAACTTCTATCCTTATTTGAGAATACCCTTGAGTTTCTCTCCTCCCAAATAGTCCAACACACCGCAACCCTACCACATCTCCACATGATCTTGGCCTTTTTGGTTGGCCAATTAGGCATGTAAGTAAATAAGCTTTGCACATTCAAAAGAGGAGTCCACCTGCACCCAAACAAAGAAGTAAACAATTCCCAAATATCTTTAACAAACTGACAAGAAATTAGTAAATGGTATCCAGACTCACCATCAGATTTACAAAGAACACATCAGTGATGAGACAAACAACTATTGGGTCTTTTCCTTTGAAATAGATCCCCTATATTAACTCTTTCCAAAAAGCTTCCCAACAGAAACTCTCAACCTTTGAAGGTATAAGTCGACACCACACCTCTTTAACAGGGAAAGACAACCCAACAAGAGGAGGGGGTAAAAGGGCTTTAAAGAAAGAGGTGCAAGTGTAGGAACCCGAGGGAGTGAGTGTCCACATTCTACTATTTGTCTTTGATGGCTCAATGAATACCCCTTCAAGAATGGATAATAAGGCTAAAGTACATTCTAACTCGGTGTCCCTGACATCTCTTCTTAAACTCAGGTTCCATCTGAACCCAGAAGGTGAATTAGACGGTACAAGAAAAGAGGAAATTGATCTTTCAAAGAATAATCCCCAACCCAAACATGTTTCCAAAATTTAATGAGGTTACCTGAGTGCAAGTTATACCTGATCCAAGGAGAGAATAAGGGCAAGATGGCTTGAATAGCTTTACAAGGAGAAACTCTTGTAGTCATTGCTAGAATCCCAAAGTCCCATCTATTGTCTACCAACCCATTTATGCTTCTCACTATCTTAACCCATAGTCTTTCTTTCTCCAATGAAAATCTCCACAACCATTTCCCTAGTAATGCTAAGTTCCTAATCCTCATATTCCCAATTCCCAAACCTCCCTCCTCCTTACCCCTACATACCACCTCCCACCTGACCCTGTGGTCCTTTCTTCTCCTCCCCTGGCTCCCAAAGAAATTCTCTCATTAGTGTTTCCAGCCTGCTAGCCACCTTAGCCGGAATCTTAAAGACTGACAAAAAATAGACAAGAAGGTTAGCTAGAGTAGACCTAATTAAGGTGATTCTCCCTCCAAGAGATAAATATTTTTTTTCTAGTTGGAAAGTCTCTTTTCAAACCTCTCCACAATAGGGGCTCAAAAATCACATTTCTAAGGATTATCCCCCAAAGGTAAACCAAGGTAATTTAAGGGCCAATTAGGTACTACACACCCCAAAGTGTCTGCATACTCCCGAACCTCCTCTTCCCCCATATTGACTCCAACTATATAACTTTTCTCAAAATTCACCCTAAGGTTTGACATCTGCTCAAAAAGTTGTATAGTGAGCTTCAGGTTTGTAATCCTATTGATATCCCCTCCTTTACAAAACAGAATTGCGTCGTCTGCAAATTGTAGGTGTGTAAATGGTATATTTTCTCTTCCAACTCTCCAACCTTTTATTAAATCCTTAGAATCTGCTTTGGATATTAGTCTCCCCAACACATCTGCAACCAATGTAAACAAAAAAGGGGATAGGCGGTCTCCTTGTCTAATCCCTCTCAAAGCTRGGAAATAGTCCACCACTGTCCCGTTCACCAAAATGGAATAATGACAATCCCTAATGCAACCATCACCCATTTCCATCAGATGTCTCCAAACCCAAAATTAATCACCACCTCTAATAGGAAAAACCAATCAACCAAGTCATAAGCCTTTTTCCAGATCTAATTTATAGACCACTCCTCTCATCCTGGATCTCTTATAGTCCTCTAGGCTCTCATTTGCTACAAGTATCTGATCTATTATCTGCCTTCCCTTCACAAAAGCCCCTTGATTATTTGCTATGATTGTTGGGAACACATTCCTAATTCTAAAGGACAACACCTTAGTGATGATCTTATAAATGCTATTAACTAGGCTGATCGGCCTGTAATCCTTTGGATGACTTGCATCACTTTTCTTGGGTACTGAAGCAATGAAGGTGGAGTTTAGCCCAAGATTAATTACTCCTCTGGCATGGAATTCATTAAATACCAACATTAAGTCCTCATTTAGTATTTCTCAACAATCCTGGTAAAAAGCCATCGTAAAATCATCTGAACCCGGTGTCTTTGCTATATCCATTGAGAAGACTGCCTCTTTTATTTTTTCCAAATCAAATTTCTTTTCCAACCACTCCCTATCTTCTCTCTTCAGTGTTGGCCATTCAGACCTTCCAACCACACCCTTTTATTTAGGAGCCTTCTAAAAATATACCTAAAATGATCTACAACTGCTCTTGCAATTTCACTTTGACTTGTGACTATTACCCCTTTAATCTCCAAAAGGGGAGATTGAAGAATATTGAACAAAAGGGGAGAAGGATATCGAATAAAAGAGAAGAATGTTAAAATTAAAATTTAAAAGTTAATTTTTATATGTATTTATATATATTATTATATTAATACGATTTAGGGTTTGGTTTGGTTTAAAAATTTTAATAAACCAAACCGAAACTGTAAACTGTATTTTTAAAATTTTTGAAATTGGACCAAACAGTTTTGAGTAAAAACTAAATCACATTTCGGTTTGGTTCTGTGCGGTTTTACGGTTTTAATCGTACAATGAACACCCCTATTTATATATAGGAAAATTTCTCAATTAGTACATTGTACTTGGGCCTAGTGCCACTTTGGTCCTTGAACTTTAAAATGCGACAATTTAATACTCAAACTTTCAAAACGTGCCACTTTAGTACATGTCATTAATCATCCATTAGGTGGCATTTGAAAAGACACAAAATGCCCTTTGAGTGTTATATAATTTTCTTTATTAACCATCCAAACGTTGACAAACATTCTCAATCCTTGCCTCTTTTATCCAAGAAAGTTGAGGTCATAATGCCACTTAATGGCTGGTTAACGACAGGTATTGGATTGGCACGCTTTGAAAGTTTGGGTACTGAACTGTTGTGTTTTAAAGTTCAGGGGCCAAAGTGGCCCTAGGCCCACAGTACGGGGTAGTAATCAGGAATTTTCCCTAAATATGCAATAAAATTATGTATTTATAATACATATATACAATTATATAAAATTTATTGCTAGTAAATGATATATTTTATATGTATATAGTCGAATTAAACCTGAATCCAACCCAAGTCCAACGTATCAGTTTCCTGATCAGGTTCAGAWATAACATTTTGGCATTTGGATCAAATCCAATTGTAATCCGACCCAATTACAGCCCTACAACTAGCAACTGCTTGATAAACCACATATGATGAAAGAGATTGTTAGGTGTGACCATGGCAATGAGCACATCCTCATCAAGCAACTTAAACTTTTATAGGTTGAATGGTTCCTTGAAATGATACCACAGCCTGTTTGACCAAGTGGCCTAATATTCTATCCTTGTTGCCTCCGTTACAGTTAATTAAATTTCAGCAAGTTATGGATGGGCCTGTGTTTATCCGTGTTTCAAACCCAATAAACCTTTGCGTGAGAGACGTGTTAGAGAATAAATACCAATTCAGATGAGGTACCTGAATTTATTCTTTAACACTGTTATTGTTCTAATTTCTAAAGGGGCATCGATGATGATAGTGATTGATCAGTCACCAGAAACAACATCCTTGGATCTGGAGAGCGGCGAGAGCCTGACAAACTCACGCATCTTGTAATAGTTCAGTAGTACAGACCATCTGATATAAGTATAAACAAGCCCTGTTTGATCAATGATGTTGAGCAATCAGGTGTCAGGTGTTCATAAATGTTCTGTGAAAGAAAGGTCTTACTGATGAACTGATAGAAAAGGATCTTTATTTGGACGGGATGCTTCTCTTGAACTTGAAGCTCGCTCCAATCTCCAAATGTTGCTATCTGTAAATCCCGAGGTAAATTTACACAGTTCCTCTCATATTATTCTTAAAGAATGCAACAAAAACGCATTGTCCAACATCTCAAATAGATTCTTGGTTGAACAATTCCACTTCCAATCCATACCTAGGATAGGTTGTACTTGAAAGATTAAATCGACAAACAGTTGCATCCTGTAACTCCTGTTTTTGTCTTAATATTTTTTCTTGCAGTTGCTTTGCAAAGATTTAGACAGCTATTCTTGGCAATAAATTTCAGTTCCTCCGTTGCATGTTATTTCAGGACACCATCTAAGARATGTCTCACCTATGGTCTGTTTTGAGACACCTAAAATGAAATAAGTTTGGAGTTTCTATTGCATTTGAGGCCATAAATCTATTACTGTTGACAGTTTCATTCCAATGATAACAAAATTGAAATTATGTTTTTTGGAGTTTCTATTGAAATGAACTCCATTTTATATTTTAATACAAAAGTATAAAAGAAGATTCACAAGAAATACAAAACCAAAAACCTTGTACTTCATGCAACCAAGACAACTTCCTCACTCCCTGAACCCCCTCAAGCCCCAAAAGAAATGTGTCAAAAGAAAATTAAATCAACTTATTGCTTCTAGTGCTTGTGCCCGTAAGGCTCAGTTTGGAAAGAGTACAAATACAAATATGTACAGAGCAAATACATACAAAATAATACAAAATTCAAGGTTTTGTACTCTACAAATTTGTATTTGTACTCCTTCCAAACTGAACCTAAGTAGCAAATAAGAAACTAAGCCTTCATTTTTAATTTGCTTGCAGGTTGCCGGTCTCATTGCAGAAGTTGCATCTGCAACAGAAACAGAGGTGGCAGAAGCCATGGAAGAAGACTATTCAAGATCAATACAGTCCGGCTCCTACATGAAACTGATCTATGTCATATGGTGGCATATAAGCTGCTTCTATTCACTTCAACGACTAATTTAAACCAAACCAACATTCAATTCTTGTTAAAATATTCTTCATTTGTCATTTATACCAGGCTTCACCTACAGAAGTTTGCTTTTGCAAATCACTATTTAAAGCATTCTAGGGTTTTCAGAATGTAAACAATAGCAGCTGAAAACAGGTAATAGGTAGTCTAAATAGGGAAAACAATGAGAAGACATCAAGCAAATGCAGACCAACAGACCATCATCACCATCCAAGCCTTATCCCAATTATATGGGGTTGGCTACATCAATCCTATTTTTCCATTCTGTTCTATTTAATGCCAGAATGTCCTAGCATTAGCACAAAACAGACAATTCAGGATCCAATGATAATGAGAGTTCAGTAAAAGTTTTAGTTCCAGCTGCCACCTTGATGCAACTTTCGTCCTTTATCCAGGCTTGGGACCTGCAGTGTAAGATAAGCTCACACTAGTGGAGCTGAGACCATTACATCTAAAAAAAGAAACCACATATACAGAGCAGATATCCACTCTGAATCTATTTTTTGAGAAAGGAAACCTAGGGTTTGATTTGTAGTGGAATGCAAAGATTATGACTTTGCAAAAATCTAGTAGATGAGTTTGTAAGTTTAAGAATGTTTTTACTTTATTCTCATTCAAATTTTACAGCCAAAATGGAGAAACATATAGTTGTACTCACTCGCCCACAAGCAATTGGCAAAGGAAAACCAGATCCTTACCTATACATACAACATGGCTACAGAATTAAAAATCTTATACAAGTTAGCTCTAATCAATTGTCTTGAACTATTGCTGAGAAGAGAAGCTGATTAATATCCTCTGAATCTGCTTCCAGCTTGTTATTGCCTGTGGTCATCATCATGCAAAGTTTGTCAGAACTTGTAAGAGATAATTTCCTATGCCTCTCAAAAAATGCTCTTGTTAAATTAGAAGTAGCATATCATTTAACATTGCACAAATGTGCAACTTCAGTTTACAATTCTTTGGGAACAGTTCCTGCCGTTATAAGTTATAATGTTGGAATTCCATTTCAATTCAGTAGCCAAAACTTTGAGGGATATATGCAGGTACTATTTACATAGAAAGCACAAAGGGAATAAAGAGTCATTTCTTTTGGGCATAGTTGCCAAGGCATCACCTAGGCGACTAGGCACCCTTGGCTGGGCACTTCGCCCAAACGCCTTGACTTTTAGGTCCCCTTCTAGGCGACTAAGTGCCTGCCTAGGCAACAAAAAAGACAAGGCGGACACCTTTTATAATATCATTTATGTTGTTGTATCTTATTAATGTATTTGTTAATACATTTTATTATATGCTATATATATCAATTGTACTTTGTTTTAATGTTTTACTATTGAAATTTAAAAGATTAATGGGTTTCGAGAAGAGAAAAAGAAAGAAAGAAAGAAAAGAAAAGAAAAAGGAAAAGGAAAGAAAGAATAGAATAATAAAGTTATTTTTTTCTATTCTCTCTCTCTAACTAAATAAAACAAAAACTCCATCCTTGTTTTTTTTTTCTATTTTACTTTCCATCTTGAATATTTATCATATAAAGTTGATAACCATCTTTAGCTGCTAATTAATAGGAATTTTCTCTATTAAATACTTATTGTAGTAGTATTATTTTTGAAAATAATGAAATTAATATATGTAAAAGATTTTTATCTTTTAGATGTGATGATTTGCCACATTTTTAGAGGAAATTTAATGTTCTTAATAAAGAGAATTGCTATTTTTTCAATTAACATACATGCTGAATGGTATATAAAACTAGGAAACTAGCCAAAAGTCAGTTTTTTATATTATAAATTTTTTATTGCCTAGGTGACGAGTGACTAGGCGCCTCAGTGTCGCCCAGAATCGCCACTAGACACCTTGAAGCTTTTGGGTATAAGAAGAACCATTTAAGAATTTTAAAAATTCCTAACATAGACATCTAACACCTTGCCCCATTAAAGAATGACTTTATTAAGTTAATGATGAACATTTACAGCAGCCTAGCCCTTGAATGTTTGCATGTTTAAACCACCATATAGCAGTAGATAGAACTCAGACCTTTGAACCTCTATTTGTGCGTTTATCTGTCTGGTATGAGAATTGACACATTTCTCTGAAGACTTGCACCCCTAGGACTCAGGTTGAGCATTTGTTGAAATTTAAATGGGCCCAACTTACAACCCTAGGACTGCCCACTACTGTGTGCCAAGTAGATGACATGAATGGTAAAACACAAACCATGATCTAGAAAACAAAAAAAGTCGAAAAAGAATGAACCTTGCAAATACCATTACCTCTATTTGATCTGAGTTGAGCTGTCCACTCGTCGATGATCTAAATACAGCATGTCAGAAACCAAGATGATTAAAACAAACAGTAATCACGCACACACTGAATATAAATGTAAATACATCTATAGGCTGAAATATAATAGGCCCTAGGATCTAACTCAATTCTTCTAGGTCAATTTGAAGAAATTAACTTCTACTATTTTGGCTTAAGAAAGAGGAGCTTTTAACAACTGAGTTCGCTTGAGAAATAAACATTAATCTGAAAATTTCATCAAAATCGTTAAATGAAACTTCAGGGAACAAGAGAATGTAGCAAGGTTCTATTGCAATAATCCCAAGGCGAAAACTTGTGCCTTGGCATTCATTCATTTCTTTCAATGTAAAAAGAAAAAGAAAGTCTTGCCTTGCTTAATCTTGGTTGCTTGCTGGCAAATGGTGCAACCTCTATTGACACCACTTGGAAAAATACAACCACAAAAGAAAGAACTATTACAACAGGCGCAGAAGACGCCGGGCTAAAGTAGAAATGAAAAAGAAATATGGAACTAATTCAGTTAATACACAATCAATAAGAAAAGTTCACGGGAAAATGTTGACAGATGTAACTTGGAAAATATCATCTGGTGTCATGCATCTGCACTCAATTTTGGATATATAAATTGAACCGTCACCTGGTTAAAGTCGGCGTACGCCGGATCATCAAAATCCCTGGTGACGGGAAGGCCAGAGGATGTCTGCATCCGTTGCAGCAAGCTCCTATTCCCAACTAAAGTTGTCCTTGCCTGGTCTATCAAATCCTGCCATACCCATGGATAAACATTAAAACAAACAGAAATCCACAAAGATATTAAAACAGTGTTTATTCAAAAAGTGAAAATGGACCATTATTCTAACGTGTCATTACAAGTCGACTCGAACACAAAGATACGAGCTGGAAGCGAAGCATACCTGCTTTGCTGCAAGAAGCTCACGGCACTGATCTTTCAAGGAAGAGAGCTCGTCCTGTATTTTCTTTACCCGAGAAACCAAATTCATTGGATTTGCCTGCAATTTTCAAATCAGATAGAAAATAAGAGTGAGAAGAAGTCGAAAACAAAACGAAACACGAAGAGATCCTTCAAATATGAAGATTTCTAGCGTTAGATGTTGAAGTTAGGGGAAAAAGAAGAAAGAAACCCTAGGCTGAGAAGCAGCTTGGCTTACGTTTTCGGGATAGATGTTTTGGAATTCCTTCTCAAGCCTGTGTTGGACAACAGATAGATCGTAGCTCGCTTTGGTGAACAGGTTCAACAGATTGTCCACCGCTTCGTGCTGTTGCTGCTGCTGCTGCCGGCGATGCCCCATCTCGCTCTCTCGCTCTCTCGCTCTCTCGCTCTCTCTCTAGACTCTAATTTGGTTTCCCGCGCACGCCCGTTTCTTTTATTTATTTGATTTCGCTCAAGAGCTCAGACGGTCAGACCCATTTAGCATTTGATGGGTTTAAAACGGTATTCAAATTACCCGATTTCGTAATTCACAAGCAGACCTGGCAATCAGGTTGGGTTGGACCGGGTCGGGTTCGAATAGAATCAACTTTCCGATTGGATTGGCAAAAGATTAGACCCTAAACCTTAGAAATCAGGTTAGGGTTGACCCATGGGACCGATGGATCAATGATTCAACGGCCTCAAGGATTTAAATACTTCGCGTATCGTATTGATATCCGCCAAGAGATATGGAAAATGCTACCATTAAGTCTGTATTCCCCCAAATCATGCGTATCAGGGTGACATGCATTCATATCGGTTTATATCGTATTGTATTGATCGATTCATGTCGATATGAGATGATAGATGTTCTAAAATCTAAATGTAACCTTAAATCACTAAGCCAATTTTTATCTTATCGCAATAAATGAAATAAAAAAAAATTATCAATTCTAATGTCCATGTGTAGTCTAAACAATTAACATGTATTTATGTTCAAGAACTCCAATTAAATATTAAAAAAATAATATTCAAATTTAGTCTTTTGTAAATTAATGAAATAAATAATTTCTCAAATTAATATTTATATCAAAAATGGATTTTAATCTTAGGAAATTTACACAAATAAAAATATTAAAAATAGAATAATTATTTTATTACTTAAAATTTATAAATTTGAACATGATATGTATCTTAATTTTTTTATAAATTATTAATTAATGTTTTAATTTGCATTAAACAACAACATATTTGTTATTTATAGAGATCAAAAATATTATTTATAAATTACTCAAGAATATAATATAAATTAAATTTGTCAAATCCATTGGTCTACTTTTATATCAAAAATGATTTTTTATTTCATAAAAATTGTAGAAATAAAATTTTAATATAGTAATTAGAAAATTATGAATTTGCGTGTGATATGTATCTTATAAATTTTAATATAATTTAAGTTAGGATTATGTATTTTTATAAATTATTAATTGATATTTTAGTTATTACATTTCATAATAATGTGTTTATTGTTTACATAAATAAAAATGTTGTTTACCAAACATTTGGGAATTAATTTTTAATTGTTTTTTTGTTAACACTAAAAGTTAAAAGAGTAAAATAGAAAATAGTTGATATAATAATCATTCACATATAATAGTTGCATATGTTTTTGTACTACAATGGAAAATGACATAATAATAACTTTGTGCATGTATTAATTTGTGTGTGTGTATATATTAAATATAATATATGTTTTAGGACTCTTGATTGATACATTATCAATAAAATTGTATGATTAATTGTATGTATTTCTATCACATATAATAGTTCCTATGTATTAATACATTRATTATGACTATTTTGACCTTAATTAAATATAATGTTATTAATATACTTATGGGATTTAGATCAATTTCCCAACATATCTAAGCATCTCCATATTTTTCATTTATATATATGCATTTCCAAAATGTATCCATATTTGAGTGGTTTGATGAAATACCTGATACAATACTTTAATTCTTACTTTGACCAAGTCTTTTTTTTTTTTTACAAAAAATACAGTTTTAACCATCAAATCAATGTTGGTTTGAAAATAGGGGATCAAATGGTGACCCATGGGCCATGACCCAACCCGGCCCAAAATCTCTTCCGATTGGGTAAAGTGAATCCACCTTTTACTTCAGGTCTACATATGGGACCTTAACCCACTTTTTTTAGGTTGGGCCAGATTTGTAGGTTGGAGAGACTTTTTGCCAGGTCTACTAAGTGACCAAATAAGAGAAGATCAAATCATCAAAAATAAATAAATAAATAAAAATAATAGAAGATCAGAAAGTAAAATTTCTAATCAATAGAGGAACAAATTCCTACGATTTAAATAAAACAAATGCTATTCTCCCCTCAATTTTAGCTAATCAAGTTACAGCCATCCACCTAGGAGTGTCAATCGATTGGTTTTGGATTGGATCCAATCTGATCCAAACTTTATCAAATCGGATTTGGACGATTCATTATAATTATTGGATTGGATCAATCCAAAATAAATTGGTCTGAATTAAACTTAAATAAAATTTCCAATAATCCGATCATGAGGCCAAACCCTTGTCCAATTTGAAACCAATCAAAACTGAAGCCAAAATAAAATTACTTTTATGAAAACGAAAACACTTTTATAAAAATAATTTTATGAAAACATTTTTACAAAAATAGTTTTACGAAAGCACTTTTACAAAAATACATAAAATCGACAAATTCTGAGTATCAATACCTTTTTTTTCGAAAGAACCAAGTATCAATACTTCTCTTTCTTTTTTTTTTTTTTTTTCAAGTATCAATACTTCGAACCTTGTTTCTGGCAACAACATTTACATACAAAAAGCCAAGATATTGGGTTAGATGCGTTTGGCTGCAAAGCTGTCTTGGGGTTTGTCACTTTGATGCAAGTTTGTGTTCGTTCCCATGTATAGTGGGTAGAGAACAATAAGGATATCAACCGATTCAAAATTGACCCAATCTGACCAATTGCCACTGCTGCTAACACGCAATATCAATCCCCTATAATTAAAAAGAAGTCCCAATCCAACATTTAACCTTAGCTGTGTACATCAGTAAAAGATAAAACCTTGAGATCAAGTTCGTATCAAAATCCAAAAGAAAGCACAATTTCAGTTAACTGATCCAATATATGAAACCATGTCAATAACGAAACAAAAACTTCTGTACAAATCTTTTTTGTGGCCATCTCTGCCGTCAATGTCGCCAATGGCTCATTCACTTTCATAGTCCTCGTCATCTCCAAAAGTAAAAACAGAAGCATCGGCTGCGATTGCTTTGAAATCATTTGTTGTCGAGTCTTTTGAAATGTCAAGGCCCAAACCAGTTCCACTTCCTCCATCAGTCTTTACTTCGTTTGCAGCAGGTGCTTGTTTGGGTCCTTCACTTCTTAATGAAAGCTGTTCGGTACCACGTGTTACAGATGCTATCTGCTCTGGAGTGGTGCCAGTTTGAGGACCTCTGGCAGCTGTAGTAGCAGTTTCTGTCCCTCCAGAAAGTGCTCGAGCTTCTCTATTCTTTGAAGACTCATTGTCTTCTCCATCACTGTCGGAGAAAACATCATCTTTATCTTGACTTCCAGAACCTTTACTTTTGTCTGGAGTTGCTGCACCTCCATCACTTGGACCAGGACCTGTCCCCGAGCCCGCATTTGACTCCTTATTCTCACTCTCAGTTCTTGTCTTTGTTGGAATGGTACCATTGTAGTCTATCATCACAACCTCGACTTGGAATCCAGGAGAAGGCAATTTCCTCTGCTCAGTGCAAATACCACAATTCAATAATGAATAGTGGCAAAGTGACAAGCAGAAAAAGAAAAAAGACAGCAGGAAAGAATAAGGAAAAAATATACAACCATATTACTACAAATTTCTTTTCCCCTTGAAATTACCTTGTCAAACCCATCAAGATCAGAAGTGTCTAAGATTTTTCTATTTTCTGACAATGTGGTATTCAACCAACTGAAAAAAGAAGAAAAGCACCAAAATATAGATTTTAGCTGTAACATGGAATAAAAAATAGGCAGTCATGATTCTCAAGTACAGGGATGAAATGTTTAAAACAAATATATTGCACAAGAAAGATCCTACAAAGAAAATTATTCACTGAATACCATTACTTGAAAAAATTGGTAATTTACCAAACGAAGCAAGAATATCAGAATTGTATTTAAACTCTATGAAACATCTTTCAAGTTTCAATTGAATATATGCCAGAGGTTATAATGGAAATTGGTGGAAAAGATAACATCAATCTGGATGGTCAGAAAGTATTGAGATCAAGATCAACACATTGAACAGAACTAGGACCAACAGGGTACTATTCACATACCAATAGAAATCTCCTTGGCGATCGTGAAAATGGATTTTGAAGTCGCCAGCCACTTCTGTCAAACCAGGCTCCCCTGGTAGAGCAAAGACCATGATCCCTTTCTTTGGTGCACTAAACCAAAAATCTTCTGGCTGAGACAAGGAGAAAATATATGCAAAGAAATATAAAGATCATGCAAGCTTGAACTATTAATCAACAATATAGAAGTGTAAAAGGATATTTTTAGAACCATAGCAAGCATAAATTGACATGTATCTGAAAAGGGAAATTTGAAGTGTCAAATAATAATGTACCGACAGATCCTTGGTTCTTGGATGCTTTTTAGTAGAGAAGAGAACACCTGTACATTAAAAAAAATATATCACCATCAATTCCAAACTGCATAGATACCTATATTGACCAATCAGCTCCAAACTGTATAGATACCTATATTAACCAATTTGAGCTAAGTTTGGTGCTATAAAGTCATAAACTAAAAAAAGCAAACAGCGGGTGTCATCATATAGATTCCACAACGAAAGGAACTCAAACTAGCAGGTGTGAAACAAATAAATTACATTCCACAGACATTAAAAATCTTGTTTAACAACAATATGAAAGAAATACAACCAAACACAATTGAGATAGTCAATGAGATAATTGTATTGTTTCAAAGTTTAAAAGTAAAAACAGAACCTGCTTCCAAGGTTCAAAGTATCGATACTCTCGATATACAAATTTTGGACTGACAACTTGACAAGAAACCTGTCGCATCACATATTAGAATTTGAAAAAAAAATAAATCTTCTAACTCTTCCCATTAGGTGTCAGTGACCCTGAAAACTGATACATGTTGGTCAATATGCACTGATATGTTGTGATATTTTGAACCTTTCCTGCTTCAATACTGATACAGCCCATGAGGTCAAGGAAGTGAGTCCAAGAAAGTGAGGTCAAGGACAAAGCACAAGCGAGATTGTGCCCTGCGAAGCCCAAGAAAGTGAGTCCAAGTACTGCAAAACAGGAAGGAACGAGATCCATACATGGGAGACCAGGGCGTTCACATTTCATGACCCTACGAGATCACAAAGAGCCACAAGATCCTCAGGAACTTAAAACATGACCGTGCAAGGCCATAGACCTAGCTAGGCCCTTGAGAAAACGAGGTTGGGACGTCATGAGGCCCTCCACGAGATCCAAGTTGCGAGGCTCCATAAATTTTCTCCCACAAGGCTTAGCCCCTCAATGTTTGTTGATCCAGTCTTTACTCTGTCAGCACAAAACCTGCCAACCAGCCAATCATCTACCAGCAGAGTTCGTCGGACACCTATAGCTACAGTTTGCCATCCCAACAGTATAAAAGGGCTGCTGCTCAGACATTTGTAACTCAGATTTTGAACTAATAGAAGTATTTTGGCTTTACCTTGTGCCCCCTTTCCCATCTCTTGTTAGACTTGGTTTAGAGCTACTTAGAATCCTACAAATCCTTTCGCCTCCTGCTAGAGAAGAGGTTAAGGTCGCTACCCTTGCAGGTTGCAAAGCCGGAGGTGGGCACTTCCACTGTTATAGTCACCCACACTGTTGCAATGTTTGTTGCTGTTGGTTGTCTACTACAAGACTTGCTCCATTTAGAGACTACCTGCCGTACCATCTGGCATCAGAGTGAGAATGACTCCTAGACATGGAGGGTAGGGGTGCAATCAAGTTGAGCCAAGCTGAACTTTTGCATGTCTTGGCTCGGTTCAGCCAAGATAAGATTAGCCTCAAGCCTGAGCTCGGGTTYAAGTTCGATTTGAATTTTATTTCCTGCTTTGAGCTCAGTTCAATTAAATATTTGATGAGCTCGAGTTCAGCTTGAAAGCTTGAAAATGGATATATTTTTTTATAATGTATAGTATTATGATTCGGCCTGCCCTTGAGTTCTGTTAGTCTGATAACAGCCAAGAAGAGAGAAGAAAGAAGAAAGAAAGAGAGAGAAAAGAGAAAAGGAGAGAAGAAAAGTCTGGTTCGAATGAGAGAAAAATTACCTCTCCCATTCGGCCAGACATATTTTATATTACTGACATAATGGAAAAGACACATGCGCCCTTACTTAAGTGAGGGACACTAGTTCTAATATAATATTACAGATCAACAACCTCAACATAAGTATAAAGACAGAAATACCCCTACACTAACATATAGTATATTTTTTATCAATAACAGAAATTCATATTATTAAAAAAAGACAGGATTACATACAACAATCCGGGAAGAGGTAAAATAACTTCACTCTCCCCAAGAGAACAAGAAAGAAATTACAAAATAGCCCAAAACATTTGCTCCCTTCCCACCCCCTGCTTTGCCAATGTATCTACAAATGCATTTGCAGTTCTCTTCACCCATTGAAACTGAACTTCCAGCCCCCTGGATAACCACTTAACCTCCCTCCTTTCACTGGCAATTTTCCAAGAACCACAATCTTTCCCCAATCAGTTTACAACCAACTTTGAGTCCCCTTCAGCTCTAAGAGAGTCACCAACCCCAATGGGGCCTGAGTACATAGCAACCACCTTCCCATTTTCATCTTTGAATACACTTCCTACTCCTGAAGGTCCTGGATTCCCTTCACTACTACCATCAAAGTTTAATTTTATAAAACCTGGAACTGGTAGTGACCACTGAGGGCAAACAGCTGAAAGAGCTGGTTCAGAATTTGCCACCTCCTTCCAGCTATTAAGCAACATCCCTGTGGAGACATCAACAAACAGCTCCAATGATTTTACCCATTGTACCACCCTAACTGTTATAACTTCAATGATATCTTCTTTCTTCCTTTCCTTCTCAGAGAATATCCTTAAATTCCTTTCCTCCCATAGAGTCCAACATATGGCAGCTCTTAAACATCTCCACAAGAATTTCCCCCTCTTTTTCGGCCACTTGAAGAATGAAGGAGTAATCAACCCTTGTACTTGGAGGAGGGACCCACCTATAACCAAATAAAGCCATAAACCACTCCCTAATAACAGAGCCAAACGGGCAAGCGATTAATAAATGGTACGGACTTTCACCATTAGCCTTACACAGTATGCACGAGTTTAGGGACAAGCACCAATTAGGCCTTTTCCTTTGGAGTAAGTCATAGGTATTACATCTTTCCAAGAAGGCTTCCCAACAAAAAGCTCCAACCCTTGGAGGGATCCGTTTACCCCATACTTCTTTTACTGGGAAAGTTTGGGCAGTCAAACTGACAGGTTGCACCAAAGACTTAAAAGAAAGACGCACAAGAAAAGACACCTGAAGGAGATAAGGTCCAAATTCTGCCATCCCTTTTTGAAAAGTCTAAAACCACCCCCTTCAAAACCTGAATTAACCGCTTCGTCTAAGACCCAAATTCCTATCAAAACTGAAGTTGGACTCAGAAGGGATCAAGAAATTAGACACAGTTTTCCCTTTATACCGGGAGAGAGAGTATATTTATAACATATATTATGAAAATATATTTTTATATCTATATTCTATAATATATGTATGTATGTATGTTTATGTTAATCAGGCTAGGCTTACGAGCTTTCCAGCCAAACTTTTTATTGGCCAAGCACGAGTTCAAATAACTAATCGAGCTTACCTTGAGATTCAAAATCGATTATAATTGAACTTGAATTGAGCCTGAACTATTCAATTAGAGCTCAGTCCGGTTGCAGCCCTAGTGGAGGGCACTACATTGAAGAGAGTTCTATCTGAGGCTTGCAGAGACCTATTTCCTCAACGCAAGACTTGGAAGAACGCATCACAAATATGGATAGATGATTTGACCATATTTCCACTCAGGTCCAAGAACTTGCAAACCTGGTCCTTGGGCAACGAGGAAGGAGAGCTTCCAGGAGTGTTCATCTATCTCCCCTTCTCTATCTCACTCATAGCTCATCACATCGACTCAATGTGGGAGAGTATGAAGAGGCCTCAGTGTCTTCCTCCTAGGAGCCATGCCACCCTAGGCAACATGCAACAACAGAAAGACACCAACCCCATTGATGGAACGGAGGAATCAAGTGCAAGATCGCCAAGTTTGCTAGCACTATTCACCCAAAGGTTTTCATTGACTGGTTTAGCAATATAGAAAAGTTCTTTGACTACAAGATGGTCCAAAAGGAGAGGAATGTTTTATTGGTATCCCTTAAGCTGTGAGGCAAATCCCTTGCTTGGCGGAACAATCGATGCAAAACTTGCCGCCAGCAAGGTAAGCCCAAGATTAGGACTTGGGAAGCCATGTAAACAAAGATGAAGAGAGAGTTCCTCCCCTTACTACCGTCGGTCTTTTCATCTAATCTCAGTCTTTACGCCAAGGAACCGAGATAGTAGACAAATACAAATTCAAGTTTCAACCTCTTCTAGCCCAGATGAATTTGCAAGAACCCAAGGAGATCACTGTCACCTGGTACATAGAGGGATTAAAACTAGCCTTGAAACAATAGTTGTTGGTGGCTTTGCACATCTACTCCATCTCCGATGCTCAACAGGTAGCATGGAGAGTGGAGAGGTTGTGGTCCCAACAATCCCTCAAACTCTCCGCCCCACAATAGACATAGGGTAGTAAGCCCCCTACCATGAACCCTGCCACCCTCAGTGTAGCATCTTCGACAAAGCCCTCAACAAGATCAAACTCGCAAAAGGGTGTCTAATGCTTCCAATGTAAAGAGATTGGGCATACTACCAACAATTACAAGTTGAAGAGCGTGTTGTATGATGATGCAAAGCCCCAACTTGATGACCCTCCATCTAAAGCAAAGGTAAATGTTGAGTTTGTAGATGATGGCATTGAAGAAAAAGGCCTAGTCGTGTGCAGAAACTTGTTAGCACCGTAGAAGGAAGAAGACTAGCTCCACAAACATCTTTTGATCCACGTGCCTAATTGGTGGAAAAGTGTGTAGCGTTGTGATTGATGGAGGCAGCTATGAGAACGTTGTACTGGAGGAAAAAATTAAGAAACTTCAGTTGCCTACTAGTGCTCATCCTCACCCTTACTCTCTCCATTGGCTCAAGAAGGGCATCAAAGTGAGAGTTGTCAAGCGTTGTTTGATAAGATTTGCCATGGGTAAGTCTTGTATTGATGAAGTGTGGTGTGATGTTATATAGATGGGTTTATGTCACCTGCTCCTAGGAAGACCATGACAATATGACAAAAGTGTGATCCACGATGGGAGAAGCAACATGTACAATCTCGTCAAGGGTGGAGTCAAGTTCGTACTTAGACTAGAGAGATCCCAATGTGAGCAACAAAAGACATCTAGGATCACCACCTGTCTCCTGTCTTGCAAAGAATTTGAGAGCAAGGCCAAGGAGGGAATGATGTTGGCCCTCATTGCGAGCCCCATGAGTGATGGGATTGGCCTTAGAGTTTGATTTGTCTATAATATAGTTTTGTTTAAATTTCCAGTCATTGGTTAACTAGTTTAGGAGTTAATTCAGTTTTATTATGATAGTGGCAATTCTGTAATAGTTTTTAAGGCATCAAGGCAAGGCTAGGTGAGAAGGAGGCACCTTGTCGCCTAGTCACCTAGGTGTTGCGTAGGCAATGGATTTTTTTTTTAAATAAATAATATGAACCCTAGGGTAGTTCCCTAGGTTCCGTAGCAACTAGCAACCATAATTCATTAATAAATAACCTATAACTTTTATAAGAAAAGAATAAAACTATCCATTCAATCCCTACCTAGGAAATTTTATTGAAAATTCCAAACTTAGACCTATTTCCCTCATTTCAAACATTTTCATCGTTTTGGAACTATAATACCTAGATATTTGTACATGCTTAGTGTACCAATGTTGGAGACAATACTTAATAGATATGGCCTGCACAAGCCTATTGTACTGATGTTAGATGTCTAGAGTACCATTATCCAAGATTTTAGGAAATGGAGAATCATATCCCCGTTTCTCATATCTGTGCCATCGCCTCTATCCATATCCATATTTAGGCATCATAAGCCCAACAAGATTTTATTTTGGTAACTTGGCAACAATTAACATTGACCATATTCCAGTGCAACATGATCAGACCAAGCATATGGAAGTAAACTGGCATTTGTTCAAGGTAACTTGTCAACCTTTAGTCTTGATAGTTTTTTGATCGGTTGCTGCCTAGAGAAAAGAAAGAACATAAAAAGAGCAGAATTTCTAAAGCCCTAGGACCTAATGATTTCTCTATAGAGGAGGTTCGTGAAGCAGTCTTCTCAATGGAAAGATCTAAAGCCCCGAGACCTAATGGTTTCTCTATAACTTCTTATCAAGATTGTCGAGAGATCTTAAAAGATGACTTGATGGAGGTGTATTTTGAGTTTCACCACAAAGGGAAAATCTCACCGGGTGTAAATGCTACCTTCCTTGCCCTAGTGCCCAAAAAGAAAGAGGCTAAAACTCCCAAGGACTTTAGGCCCATAAATTAGTAGTCACTATAAAATCATTGCTAAAGTCTTGGCAGAAAGGCTGGAGTCTTTGTTGCCTTAGTAATCTCTCAAAACCAAAGAGCCTTTGTAGAAGGAAGACAAACAATAGGCCAAATCCTAGTGGCTGTAAAGAAGAAAAAAGGAGGGAGAAGTCTAATTTGCAAACTAGATCTGAAAAAAACCTATGATATGGTGGACTGGTCCTTCCTTTAGTTCTCTTGGAAAATTTTGGGTTGGGAAATAGGTGGAGAAAATGGATTAAAGGGTGCATTAGTTCAATACATTTCCTGGTTCTCATAAATGGTGTAGCTAAGGATTCCTTTCTAGCAAAAGAGGCTTAAGGAAAGGAGATCCTATCCCCCCCTTCTTGTTTACTTTTGTTGCTGAAGTGCTAAGCAAACTAATTGTTAAGGCTGATCTAAACAATGTGCTTAGAGGTTGGAGAATTGGTAGAATGAGGTTATTGTTACCCACTTACAATTTGTAGACAACATAATAATCTTTTGTGAGGACTGCAATGAACCTAGCATGAGGAATTGAAAACTTCTAGTTGATGGATTTCAAAGGGTCTCGATGTTGAAAGTGAACTAGGGGAAGAGTTGTGTGGCAGGAATTAATGTGGGAGAACAAGATATCCAAATGGTGGTAGGAATACTAGGCCATGAGATTAGAAGCTGGCCCCTAGAGTATCTTGGTATACCTTTGYGGGGTAATATGAGGTCAGAAAGCTTTTGGAAACCAGTAGTAGATAGATTTACAAAAAAAATAGCTTTATGGAAGAGGAATTGCATCTCTATGGGACGAAGAATTACTCTAATTGATCCACCTTATCCAACCTACCTACCTACTACTTGTCCACCTTTAGAATACCGGTCAGAATTGCAAAGCGTTTGGAAAAATTATGAGAAACATTTTGTTGGAACTGAGTGATGAAAGAAGATATCATCTGATCAAATGGGAATAGGTGTGTAAGCCTAAAGAACTGGGAGGACTTGGTATTAAGAATCTAACTAAGAGGAATACACTTTTTCTAGGAAAGTAGCTTTGGAGATTTCCTCTAGAAAGAGATAAATTGTGGCATAGGGTCATTGGGAGCATTCATGGTCTGGCAGAAAATGGTTGGATGCAAATTTGGCACTTCATGCTTCTCCAAATTCCCCTTGGAAAGCAATAGTAGAGGTATTACCAACCTTCCTCGATTTCATTCATTTTGATGCGAGCAATGGGGAGAGAATTTTATTCTGGGAGGATCTTTGGATTGGGGGTTTGCCCCTTAAATTATAACTTCCCTTACTCTACTCTTTGTCCAATTATAAGTCCAAACTTGTCTCTAAGTGAGTGTAACTCCCTTATTCTCCTACTGTCAAAGCTTGAAAATGTTTTTTGGACCATAACACTTCAGATGGAAGAATTTGGTTCCTCACATGATGGCCTATTCTCCCATGCCTCCTTTTTTAACCTTCTTGTCTTGTCAAGACCTTTGGGGGTGAACTTCCCGGTAAAAGAAATCTGGTGCAAACCTATCCCTCCTAAAGTACAAGCTTTGTGTTGGGAAGTGTTCCTTGGGAAGATCAACACCTGTGACTTGCTAAAAAATATAAGGCCAAATAAATGCCTCTCTCTTCATGTGTGTATCCAATGCAAGAAAAGTGGTGAGACCCTTCCACATTTATTAATCTCCTGTTCCTTTGTGTCTTGTATTTGGAAATACTTCTATTATCTCTTTGGTTATAGATGGGTTCTCCCATAAGATGTGGTAGGTTTGTTCAATTTCAGTTTCTCAAAGCAACAGAAGAAGAGATGAAGAATTTTGTGGAGGGAAACAAGGGCAGCATTGATGTGGACTGTATGGGAAGAAATAAATCAGTAAATCTTTAATGAGAAGAGCAAACCAAAGGAGGATTTGATTGAAGCCGTAACAGTAAGAACTGCACATTGGGTAAAAACTTTGGAATTTTGAACAAATGACATAATAAGGTCCTAGACTGAAGTGGCACAAACAATTAGACCTACAAAAAGTGTAAGAATGGATTGGAAACCTCCAGCTATAAAAAAGCTAAAGTTGAACTTTGATGATTGCTCATTGGGTAATCCAGGACGGGCAGGAAAAGGAGTTTTTAGAAACCACCAAAGAGTGGTGGTAGCCCTGTTTTCAGGACTAATTGGTTTTGCAGATTTAGTCCAGGCTGAAATTTTGGCTCTCTTACAAGGATTGAGACTTGCAGTACAGCTCAGAGTAAGGGAATTGGAAATTGAAGGAGATTCACAGTTGGTCATTTAATGGACCAAGAATTTCAGTTCAGCTCCTTGGAAATACAGACATGATTTCAGGGAAATTAATATCCTAGCAAAGAGGTCCAATTCTACTTTCAGCTGGATAAGGACTGCAATGGGTTGGCACATGTTTTGGCAAAGCAAGGAGTTGACAAGCCTAGTTTGTTTTGGGCAAAGTTGTAATCTGATGTATATTGGGCTGGTGGGATGGCCTATTAACTGTATTCTTCTCTGAATTTTCTAAATATATTAATAAAAATTTATTTGCTGAAAAAAAAAACAATGAACAGAACAGCATCATCTATCAGAAAATAGTCAAAGGAAGAAAACAAATGAAAAATAAGAATGCCACATCTTACCATTATGGTCGGAAATAGTAATTGATGGCCTAATCCAATAGGGACATCTATGAAGTCGAAATCCCCTAAGCATGCACCTGCAGAAAACACAGTCAATAAATATCTGATAACTAAATGCCACACGTTGAGAGATAATTAATACCTGCGCCCAGGTTGATTTTCCCCATTGGAGTATGTTAAGATCCGCTCGAAATATTTGACATATCTCTAACAAGAAAAATTAAAAATTTATGAGACAGATATGAAAGGTGTGTTCTCATTGAAATACATCAATATCAGTCATCAGATGGTAGACTTTCACTAACAATCTGGCTTGGAAGAACTAGCCCCTTTCCATCCAAACATCTTTTCTGGTTGTAGTAATCAATAGACTCCTCAGCTGTTGGGAAGAACTGCGAAGAACCAGATAAAGTAATACTACAGTTGCACAAAGGCAGCAGAACAAATAAACTAATAAATTCCCCCATATCCACAGAACTTGTATCTATACTGGGGCAAACATAACACACCTTAAGGTACAGAAGAAGGCTAGAAATCATTAATCCTGTCCTTGCCATACCAGCTTTACAATGAACAACAACCACATTCTCAATGTCTTCCTTCAACCATGAGTATGCACTTTGACAAAATGATATGATCAGTTGAATGGGAGGGCAGTTGTGGTCATCAAATGGAAAACATGCAACCTGGAAATATACAAGACATCAAAAATTGAAAGAGAACAGTTTTTTTTCTGCAAAAATTTGATCAAGCAAGAGAGCAACATCAATGAATTCAGATAGGCTGGAGACAAAATCATGCATACCACAGTCCAGGGAACCTATCACAACTGAACACACCAGTGTGCCATATGCATAAGGTGTGGGTCCCATGTGGGCCCCGTGTGTATGGAACACTGGTGTGCTCACTCGTGATAGGTTCCCCAGTCTGGTCTGCATGGTTTTGTCTCCAGCCCATCCAGACACAACCTCAGTAATCTAATAGGTTGAAACTTCTATAATTTTAACACATGCTAGCAAAAAGATGCGAGTCATACTTAAGAAGACAGAAAAGTATCAATTGTATCAAAAAATATTGCATGAAAGGATGTATACAAATGCACAGAGTTATGTATAGAAAACCTATCACACAACAATTACCAATCAAGAAGAGATTTATCATTATGCACAGAGTTCTATTTTAATCCTGACATCCATCTCCGAGACAACATGGAGAATATCTCCCTAATCTTGTTTAGGGACTGAGCCACTTCACATGTGTTTGGAGTTAACCTTGGCTGTTGGGGGCCAACAGCCTATGCTGTTGAGAACGTTTTTGGGCTGGACAGTTCACCCATTCACGCCCATGCCTATCTTTTTGGACAAAAGGAAATAGGGGCAATTACTATTTTACCCTACTATCATGGTAACGTGGCATTCCCAAGAATGTTCTCAACAGCCAAAGTTTTTCCATGCTTTTACACCATCTGGTTGCATTAGCTGAATCAACTCAACTCAAAACCAAACAAAACCTTACCCATGTTAGCCCGAGTCCACAGACCCAAGTATGGCCCTGTGTTGTGGCCAAACCTTGAGAGAATCCAAACCGACTGACTCCAAAGAGACCCATTTGATTTGGTCCTTAAATCTCCCAAGTATTCTCTTATTTGATCTCTACTACTGATTTAAAATTTTAAATTAGAGATAAGGATGAAGACAATTTTGGGGCGGAGTAGGTAGGTGGGGAGTAATATGATTCCTATTGGCTAGTACAAGAGTCGGTTCCTTAATGGGAGGAACCACTCAATGTTCTAAGTGAATAAGGTCCTTCCCTCTTAATCAACTAGGTGGGTTGGCAATCCCATTCTTGCTACCACTGTACTATTGTTGCTTTGAGCAAAATAGATTGAGAGAGGGAGATCAACTATAGCCTATCTAGTCAATAACTAGAGAGAAAAAGGAGAAACGTTGACAGAAAGTAGCATCCAAGGCAAGGATCAACTTCATACTTTTGACTTCATCATTGGACCTGAGAATCAAAGAGAGACAGTTCTAGGATTGATTCAGGTCAATCTGAACAAATCCCATGGCTATGGCGTCTACAGGTATGACCATATTTATTTATTTTATTGGTTCTATTGATATTCAATCAACTTAATAGTGATATCAGAGTGGGTCCTAGTAAACCATTGCTTGGTTCATGGTTAGATTGACTGAATGTCAGAAGATGGGGATGTTTTATTATCAAGTACAGACAATCTTGAGTGTATCAAACACTCATTTATTTATTTAGTGTTTTAGTTAATGGATTTCGGTGATGTCTATACCAAAAACATGGCTTGATTTGTGATGATGTAATCATAAGAACTGATTTCCCTGTATTAAATTTCAATGTAATTTTATTTGATTCTTTCTTTTCATTTTAGATGCTGAAATTTGAAGGCATCTCTGATGTAACAGGCAATGTTAAGGATTGGCAAAGTCCATTAACATATTTATTTGGTGTGTTTACTTTATGCTGTTTTAGTAGATTGATTGATACACTCAAAAGGCTTGGCGTTTCAGTTCTATTGTTGTTAGATAAACTCGGTGAATGCTTAGTTTACTCCTACCACTAAATAGATTGTGTTGTGATGTGCATCATTGGATGAATAGAATGTTACACCCAATCAGTTTTTTATTTAATTTTGTATTATCCTTGTGTATGGTGTATGAACTGGTTGGTTTTGATTGATTATATCTATAATATTGAGACAAGAGGTAGAATTGAAATGTTATGCTTTAACTCCAGGCCCACTTGTGAAAAAAAAAATCAGGATTATTGCCAATGGATTTGGGATGAATTGGGAACTACATCACATATTTGATCATTATAGTAAAACTAAGAGAGTAATAAGCATAGGCCTGGGTTCTAAGTTGGACACCAAGTCCAACCAAATCCAAGGTTTTGGTCGAAATCAAGTTTTTAGAAAACATACACCACATTTGAACTACTTCCTTAGATTTGGATTTTTTTACTTGATTTCTTGCTGCTTATTTTTTACTTACATTTGGACTTGGTTGTGGCCAAAGCAACCTAGGTGCAAATTGTAATTGGAAACCATACCATTTACAAAATTGCATTTGGTCATCAAGTTGGTGGCTATGTGAGCCTAAAGGCAAGTAATCACTAGTTTGGTGACTATGGAGCTAGATGGGTGTGAGTTGGTTAGGAATGGAGTGATCCCAAATGCCCAAAGGTATAGGAACACCATACTTGAATTAACCCAAAACTAGTTTTGGATTATGTAGTTAGCCACAATACAATTAGTTTGAATGCCCAAAGGTAAAACTTGATTGTGGTATTTGAGATGTGAATCAGTCCTCTAATATCAGGTTTAAAATCAGTAATTAACAATGCAAATCAGATTTGAATAATAGTGCAAGAGCTGTGTATGTCGAAGAGAAGAGGTAAGAGAATAAGAAGTCGAATGAATCACCCTTCTCCTCTAACCCTATTTTATTAATCTCCAAAAATTAATGATGACAAGTATGCCCTTACGCAGGCGGCCAACTTGGCAATTACGTAAAGAAAATAAAACAAGAACAAATAACAGGCCCATTAAGTGAGGCCCATCAACATAAAATAAAAGATAAAAATAAAGGATATCACACAAG